TTCTATGAACAGAGCAGTTGTGCTGTGTGCTGGCCTCAGAGGGCTCGTTGTTTGCTCGAGGTGGAAAATCCCACCCTTTCCTTGTGAATCATCAGGAAAGCCACCCCAACTCAGGCTTGGTTCCCTGGAAAGAGATGGCAGATTTTTTTCCACTGCTCTGAGAACAGGCAGGGTCTCAGATTGGTTGGGAAGGAGGGGTGGCAGGAGAGGGGAAGAAAGGGAACCCAGCCCACTAGCTCCCTTCCTTGCTAACAAAGTTAAGTACTGAAAACTTGAAACACCCAGGCTGAGCCACCATGTGGGGACAGCTCAGAGGCTCAGACCCCTCCCAAGGTTCCCACAGATCTCTACAGCATTTCAGTGAGTGGGAAGGGGGGTTGGGAGAATGCAGATGCTGAATCAGGTCAGCACTTGAAGGAATTCATTTTTGCCCCAGTGTCATCCAATGAGCACATATCTGGACTGGATTGGGGATGGCGACTCTCACTTGAGTAATTACTCTGGCACTTAATATGTCTGCTCTGGGCAGATGTTGGGTATGAGGTCAGTCTCCTATCCAGGGCCTTTCTGCCCTGGTTAGTGAAAAGTTTGCTCTTTTCTTCGGCTGAGGAAGTTTTAGTGTTGGCGATGTGAGGGAGATGCTCATCCTTAGTATTTGCATGTTGTCATAGACGTAGGGGACTTTTCATGAGCTGGGTTTCAAGGCTGACTCTGTCCTTGACTCTGTTACCGTGAGCAAATCTCATCGTTTTCATCTCTGAGATGGGAATGATAGTTTTTTTCCTCTCCCACATTGCAAGGGTATTGGAAGGACATGTCAGAGAGAAAGAGTTGGGAAAGGAAACTGACATAGTCACTGAGAACTATCTTTCCTAGCTTCCAGTTCCTTCCTTACCCTCAATTAGTTGTGTTTCTTTGGTGTTACAATCCTTTGCTCCTTGGACTTTTCCTCCACTTCTGAGTAAAAGAGGAGTGTAAACCCCGAAGTAGCGGGTTGACATCCCCCAAGGTGATTCTGCTCTCACCACCTTCCAGGCCAGACGTGACCAAGAGCAACCCAGCAACGGAGCGTTTGTAAATTTGGGTAGTCATACGTTAGCTTCCTTAGAAATACACCCACGGGAAGCAGGTTGGCCAGTGAGCTGGACTGGCCCCCAAATACAAGCACATTTGCTTCAGGGAAAGCCTGTGCCAAAGTCCTTTGTAGCTGGAAGTCATAATTAAAGGAGAGGAGTCCAGGAAAGAAAGTCAGGCCTTCCATTTCCAGATGTGAGAGGCAGGGATTATCCTTCCCAAGTGAAAAGTAGGACAATAGAGACCCTGAGAAAAGGACTTATCCAAGGTCATACTATGAATTCGTGGCAAAGACTGGACTGCGTCTTAGTTCTTTTGCCTGCCAGGCCATATGTCTGTCTAAGAGACCATGCAACCTCAATCTCTCTATCTTACATGTCTCAAGTGGGAGACAGAGGGAGGGCTAGTGAGGGGGGTGTTGGCCATGTCCTTTTAAAAAATTTACCCTTTCATGCGAGAACACATTGTTCTCTTAACTAAAATTTCCAGGGGTAAGAAATGGGAATTAATTATCAGCCAAACCATGCTGGATTTCTCTTACTTTTTCTACTTCGAACTAGAAACCTGTGGCATGGGGCTGAACAAGTGTCCCACATAGGTTATTCAAAAACAAAAGGCTCTTTAAAAAGCCCCGAAAAGGTCAAATACCGTTGACAAGAGGAAATCATGGCACAGAGAGAAGAGTACCCAACTTGGAGACATGATACCTGCTTGTTCGCTTTGTGAGTTTAGGAACATCTCTTTGGGCCTTGATTTCCCCATTTGTCACATGGGAAAAAAGACTCCTTCCTTTCTGTGTCTCACAAGGCTGATGTCAGAATCAAATAAGATGGTCAGTATGAAAGCTTTGGGAAAATTTTCAAAATTCTAAGTCACCCCATACATTTAAGGGGTTATTTTTATTAGGGATAGGAGACAGGGACTGACCTTGTGATTTCATTGTCTGGGGAGCCCAGCTGATAAAACTCCTGGTCATGTGGCTGAGCACCTGCAAACATTTGACCATAGAGAGTTGTCTAGATCACTGGGTGATTAAATGACTTTCCTGGGTCACACGGCCTAGGGCCCAGGTGTTCCTGACTCTGGGGCTGGCGTTCTATCCGCTAGGCAACACTCCCTCTCTTTTTACTGTCATTCCTATTCAAAAGGGGGGTGGCTCCCTGTGCTTCTCTGCAAAGTTTTTAGACATGCTTTGATGAAATAAAGATAGTCAGCATCTTGGGTTCTGGGTAGTGGGCAGCAGGCCTTTGTTACTGCCTGCTCTAATTCCTCCCATCACTGGGTGTGTGAAATCCTAGCCTCTGCCTGCAGCAAAAAGTTGCCACAGAATGTTGAAATGTAGACTGTTAGAACTGAAAGGGGCCTTAGAATCATCTGATCGAGAGCCGTAAGGGATCTTTGAGAGGCTCTCTTCCAACCCCCTGGTTTTATAGATGAGGGTTTTACAGATGTGAAGGGACTTACCCAGGGTCACTCAGATAGACAGTAGCAGAGACAGACACTGAACCCTGGTCCTCTGATCCTAACTCTAATGTCTTTTGCATTAGGCCAAGTTGCTTTCTGGAACATAGAATATTAGAACATAGAACCTGACAACAGCCAGACTGGTAGAGATTTTGAGAACATCTTGGGGCTGGCATAAGCTGAGTTTTCTTCTCTTATACTCTGAATGGGTCTCTCATTCCCCTGGTTACTGGCCTGGAATGCAGATAGGGGATCAGGGGATAGGCTGGGTTATTGTCTCTGAGGCTTTGACCCTTTGAAAAGCCTGGTTTCCATATAGGGGAAAGAGGAGAGGGTACACGTGGAACACTGAGTGCCGAGGAGATGGTGGAGAAGGAAGAAAACATTTCAGTAAGACCGAATGCAAGGGTGGGAAAGATCAAAGATGCCAGCAGGGGAGAATTCTGTTGGGAGGGCACAGAGGGAGAAACTCAAATGGAGAAGATGAAAGGGAGTGAGCACAGTAGAGATCTAGGAGAGGGACAACAGGAACTTTGGCTTAGAGCATCTTTTCGATGCCTTCTTCCAGCTGCTGATGCCTGGGGCTGGTTGGATTCTAACCTACTACGGTGGGTCTTTGGTTCAAAGGCTTGTCCTCCAGCCTCCTCTAATGTTATTGCCCTTACTGGCAGCTGGCGCAATTGTCAGTCAGTCAGTCAACAAACATTTATGAGATGCTTATTATGCCAGGAACCGTGCTAAGCAGCGGGGATGCAAAGAAAGGTAAGAGAGAGTTTTTGCCCTTGAGGAGCTCACAGTCTAATGGTGGAAACAACATGAGGGTAAAAACAAGATAGATATATATAGAGAGAGAGATTTAGATACAGACAGAACAAGATAAATAGAGATAGAGATAAAGATATAGGTACAAATCTATCTATCTCTATGTCTATTTAGCTGTGTTTGGCTATCTATCTATCTATCTGTCTGTCTATCTGTTGTCTGTCTATATCTCTGTCTATCTGTCTATCTCTCTGTCTGTGTTTCTCTGTGTATCTGTGTCTGTTTATCTGTCTGTTATCTGTCTGTGTCTATCTAACTGTCTGTCTCTGCCTGTCTGTTTGTCTTCTGTATCTGTTTATCTATCTGTTGCCTGTGTCTGTCTAGCTGTCTGTCTTTCTGTCTGTCTGTGTTTATCTAGCTGTCTGTCCATCGATGTCTGTCTGTGTCTATCTGTCTGTCTGTCCGTTTATCTAGCTGTCGGTCTATCTGTCTATCTAGCTGTTTGTCTTTCTGTCATCTGTTTTTATCTAGCTGTCTGTCCATCTATCTAGCTATCTATTGTCTGTCAGTGTCTATCTAGCTGTCTGTCTGTCTGTCTATCTAACTGTTGTCTATCTGTGTTTATCTAGCTGTCTGTCTATCTGTCTGTGCTTGGCTAGTAGGGCAGTAGACTGGAAACATAGCAGGAGCAGCATGGTATGGTGAGAAGAGTCCTGATTTAGGAGTCAGGAGACCTAGGCTAGCTCTAGGTCTGCCTCTAACTCATTGTGTGATCTTGGGTGAACAGCTTCTCTTCTCAGTCTTCATTTACTAGTCTGTTCCATGGAAGAATGGTCCCTGGCCTGAGTATCTTACGGGAGTGATTTAGGAGACTCAAACAAGACCATGCGTGTGTTTTAAAATATAAGGGAGTAGAGTGGGGGAATGGTGGCAACTTATAAAATGATGATCATTAAATGATGGGTAGGACTATGTTGTTGCTAAGGTTCCTTCTAGTTCTTTATGTTCTTATGATTCTGTGATTATTTTAGCATCTGTCATCAACTCAGTGTGTGACTCTGGGTACCCCACTTGCTGTCAGGTGGTATCGGTTTTTGTCTATAGCATGGGTAGAATAGTGCAAAGAAGCCCTTGTGAGAACCTGGGGCTTTCAAAGGGTGTGAAGTGGTGTGCTGGTATTCCCCAAATTCTGTCCGATCACTTCTTCCACTCACAATCCTTCACGGCTAAGAATAATAGCATTATAGTTGATTCCTGTTTATCCTGTATATAGCTTGTTTGCATATATTTATTTGCTTATTGTCTCCCCCTTTAGACTGTGAGCTCCTTGAGTGCAGGTCTGTCTTTTGCCTCTTTTTGCATGTGTAGCACTTAGCACATTGCCTGGCACATAGTAGGTGCTTAATAAATGCTTTGTGATTGACTTACTAGTTTGTGGTGAACAAAAAGGATCTGAGAACCACTACTCAAGATGGAACCCTCTCTTCTATAAAATGTGGTGGGTAGACTACATGATCTCAGTGCTCTTCCATCTCTGACATTGTTCTAACATTCTATGTGCAGAGGTTCCTTCCAGCCCTAATGTTCTGTGTTTTAACATTGTATGTTTTAAGGTTCCTGCCAGGTCCGCCATTCTCTGTCTGTGATGTCATCTGTCCCTTGGCAGTATTTAATACTTGCTTCTCTCTCTATCTCTCTAGGGTCCCCCCGGCTTGCCTGGGTTGCCCGGGATATCAGGCAAAAGAGGACCCCGGGTAAGTGGTTGTCTCTTTGAGCTGTTGCCATTGATAATATGATGATAAATTTTGGTGCCCTGCTGATGCCCCCAAGTTTTCTGGCAGGTTCCAACCAGAGATTCCACTGTAGAAGAAACCTCTGGTCCAACTACTGGTCACATAAAGCAGAATGCCTATAATGCAACTCAGCAGCAATGCCCCCGAAAAGTTCCTTCCTGGGCCAAGCAACTGCCCCAGGCCATTGACCGAAGCCCTGGAAGACGGAGTGGGATGGCGCTTATTTTTAGCTCATAGCTCGCCAGTATTCCTGGTGAGACAATTACATAAACCCACAGTTCACTCCAGACCTGGCCCCCTGCTCTCTGGGAAGTCGGTCGGTGGAATCCACTCTGGCTGAAGTGATGTTTCCGTTTTCCATTTGTTCTCAGTGCATCCAGCTCCCCAAGTTGCTGTCAGCAGAGCAGCTCTGGGCCAGGCTTGAGCTTGCAAGACAGGAAAGGTTAGGGGGCCAATGTGGGACTCTTGAGGGAGGAGGTTGGTCATTTGCCTGTGGGGTGGGAGCTGTTCTCTCTTGTTCTGGGATAGGGCCAAGGGGCTAAAAATGGGCAGACTTGTGTAGTGGAATAATAAAAATAGTAATAATAACTAGCATTTGTATAACTCTTTCTCATTTGATCCACACAACAACCGTGGGAGGTAAGTCCTATTATTTTTCCCGTTTTACAGATGAAGAAATGCAGCAAATGGAGATTTAGACTTGCCCAGAGTCACATAGCTAGGAAGTTATCTGAGGCCAGAACTGAACTCAGGTTTTCCTGACTCCAAATCCAGGCCTCTAACCATTGCTTTTGGCCAGCTCTGTGGAAAACCTATGGATTCTTAGAACCATAGAATGTTAGAACTGGCAAAGAGCTTTAACTCAACCTTGTACATTTTACAGGTTTAGAAACTGAAGCCACAGTGAAGCTTAGTAACTTGCCTGAGATCACTGAAGCAATTCATGGCAACACTGGAGCTAGAACCCAGGCTTCTTGTCTTCTAGTCTTGTGTCTATCCGTCCTTCCTTTCTTCCTTCCTTTCTCTCTCTCATCTCTTTCTTTTCTTTCTTTCTTTATCTCTTTCTTTCTCTCATCTCCTTTCTTCCTCCCTTCTTTTCTTCTTCTCTTCCCTTCCCTTTCCTTCTTTTTTTTTCTTTCTTTCTCTGGAGCCCATAGACTCATATATAAATTTCAGGGGATCTATGAACTTGAATGGGAAAAAAAATCAAATTTTTATTTCAACATAACTGGTTTCCTTTCTAATCCTATGTATTTTATTTTGTAAATTTAAAAACATTTCTCTGTGATGGGGGTACATAGACTTCACTAGACTGCCAAAGGAGAACCCCTGCTCTAGCTCACCTCATTTCACATGCTGGAGAGTTTTTTCTCCCCATTATCCCCTCCTTCCAGAATTTGGCCATTCCACAGGCCTGAGTGGGCTGAGTGGGTGGATGGGGGAATCCCTTGTCCCTTCCCCCACTCTACTTTTTAAGCTGAAGCATTTATGGAAACAGTTTGTTTGGCCCCTTTTCAAATATTTTGTTCATTTTTCAGTGAGGCAGAGACCAGAGTGGAATCAGGAGGCTGGGAGAAACAGGAAAAAGCCCTGAGCCTTAAACAGCTGTAAATGTAGAAGCCATTCATGGGGGAAAAATAGAAAACTATTCTTTGGGGCATTCCCAAGTCTAGAACCAAGAAAGGGTGGTCCTGGCAGGAGCTGCTCCCAGTTGACTCTATGCAGGCTTGATGTTATTTGTGGGTGGGGGGTATATGTTCAGGGGTTTGTCAGAGCTCCTCCTGTATCGTCCCTGAACGCTGCCCCCCCACCAGCTCTCTTTTCCGAATGCATTTGTTCCCCAGAATGAATTGGTTCTATGTGGTTGGGCTTCAGTCCACTGGGTTAACTAGATAAGGATCCTGAGGAGGAACATGATGTAGTGGAAAGACTAGGGAACCAGGAGTCAGGCTCACAGGTTCTCAATAATTGGAAGGGCCATCAGTGGTCAAAGCAGGAGATCTGGGTTTGAATCCCAGATGACAATGCCTTTATAAGCCTGGATAAGTCATCTTATCAAATGATGTAGTAGGTAGCTAGGTAATGCAGTCAATAGAGTATTGTAGCTGAAGTCAGGGAGACCTGAGTTCAAACCATACCTTAGACACTAGCTTTCTAACCCTAGGAAAGTTACTTAAACTTTCTTAGCCTCCATTTCTTCCTCTGTAAGATGAGGATAATAATAGCACCTATCTCTCAGGGTTGTTGTGAAGATCAAATGTGATTATATGTGTAAAGTGCTTCACAAACTTTAAAGGACTATATAAATGTTAATTATTATTATTATTGTTATATATAAAGTACTTTGAAAACCTTAAAATGCTACATAAATATTAAATATTAGTGTTTATGTTTTTGGGCCTAAATTTTTCCATATGTAAAATGAACACCAGAGGGAGAGGACAAAAGGCTGGACTTAGAGTCAGGAAGACCTGGGTTCAGATCTTGCCTCTGACATATTCTGATTGTGTGATCATGGGCTTAACCCTTTTATACTCTAAGCATCTCTCAAAAACTATAAATTATAGATGAATTGCCAACCTGTAGTGGTGGAAGGAGTATTTTATACCAAGGCCAGGCCAAAGAAGATTGGAGATAATTCTTGCAATATTTATCTCTCAGAGTTGTTGTATGCATTTTTAAAACTTTAAAGCACTGCGTAACTGAGTTATTTATGTAATGCCTCCTCTAGGTTACCTCCACAACTCACTACTTACAGATTTATAGGTTGGGACCTATATTAGAATTATTGTGGCCATCTTCAATTCTGAGGTTATTTTGTGGGTCCAAACTCCAAAACTGTATCTCATGAGCCCCCATTAGTGAGCTTACCTTTAAAAGTCAGCCAGTTGACACAATTAGCTCAAAGCAAAGGCATATACTAAAATGTATGGTATGAACAGAGGCTACAAAACATTCGCCCTCATGCATCCATAATGTAGGGCACACTCTCCCACAAATATATACAGTGGCTTACACCTACAGTACTACAGGGTCCCATAATGCCTTCTCAAACTCCAGCCCTCACCCCCACCTCTCCCTGCACAGAGTCTTTGCTGAGAAGGTCTTTCAGCTGAGTCCCTGATTCTGCTCCTTTCCATATCTCAATTTTAAGGCTATAGGTATCCTTTGAACCCATAGTCAACTCTCTTTTGTTATATGCCACAAAACTGTTCTCTGCCCTTAATGCCTCAATTGCCTCTCTGTTTCTATGTCTGTTTGGACAGTATGTGTCTCTGCTCCTTGGTGAATGTGGTATCTCCTACTGATTGAGTAACTCCATTAACATATGCCATGGTTAATGAGGAGAAGGAGAGAAGATCTGCTTCCCTGCTGCTGTTTGGTATATGTGTAGGAGCCACACTCCATGTAGTTGCTCCTGGCCCCAACTAGACCTTGACTGCTTCTAAGGCTAGCAGGCTAGCAGGGTTTTGGCCAATCTTTAAGCAGCCAATAAAAAGCTACCCTTTTAATGCCATCAGAGAAATTTCCTTCATACTTCATAAAGGGATAATGGGGTGTAGACATTTTTTTGCACTTCGTTTACATATCAACAACTCGTTAGTTCTGTTATAAGTAAGTGAATTAGGGGAAAACGAAATCATTCCCCGTGCCCCCATTCTATTTATTGTTGTTGTTGTTATTTCCGGCATTGAAAACGTATTATTTTAAGGGAAACTTTAGGGTTACAACACCATAGATTTAGTATTGGAAGGGACATGAATGTCACCTAGTCTAACTCCCTCATTTTACAGATGAGTACACTGAGTCCAGAGAAGTTAAATCATAAAAGTAGTTAGGAGCAGAACTGGGATTTGAACTCAGGTCCTATTACTCCACTTCCAGCCAGTCTTTCCATCATACTATCTCCCCGGACCTAGGGGAGGGAGCAGATCTTATAAGGTTATATCATTTCCATGGTTGAGTGCCCTTCCAACATAGGAGTGCCCTTCCTAGTCAAGTACAGACAGGGGAAGAATCAGACCACAGAATCAGTTATAGGTCAGGCATGAGCTTAGTTCAGATCTGGAGATGTGGAAGGGGATACCTGGCTGAACGTGACAGACTCCAACTGGGGAGCTAGCTCGAGGGGACCAAGGAGAAGACAAGTTCAGATGCTGCTCAGCTTGTTGAGAGGTCAGCAGCCAGAGGTGAAGGCAGTCTTGCTAGAGGCAGGGGGATGGACTATGTGACCTATTGAGATTCCTTCTGGAACGTTTTTCTGTGATGGTCTGTTGTGATGATTCCTCAATGGTACGTTTAATAGAGGACCTGAACGTGGACTTTGGGCAGATGGTAGTAATTATCCAGACCATAGGGCAAGGATCCAGGTTGTTAGGGCTCTGTTTATACTGCAGGCCTGGAAGCCTCATCTGCATAGGGACCTTTCTGGAGAAAGTGGCCTGAAGCAAGATCTAACCATTTCAAAAGGGTGTGGAAATGTATCAGAAAGATTTAGATCTCTTTAGGCTGGTATAAACCAACAAATGAATTTCAGTCATTTAGTCCATCCATCCAGTTTTTACTGAGTACCTCCTGTGCTCACATTCTCTGTGACGTGGGCGATACAAAGAAATAGAAAACATTTTCCTTGCCTTGGAATAATTGCTGACACTTATGTAGTGTTTTAAAATTTGCAAAGAATATCCCATTCATTGTTTCCTCAAAATCACCCTGTAAGGAAAGTGCTACAGATACTATTATTCCCATTTTACAGATGAGTAAAACTGAAGCCTAGAGAAGTTAAATAATTTGCCCAAGGTCACAACCAATAAATCTCTGAAGTGGGATTTCAACCCAGGTCTTCCTGACTTAAGGTCTAGCATTCGAGCTACCACCAATCCTGTTGGAGAGACAAGGCTAAATCATCAAGGGCCAAACTGTGTGGTATAGACCATGTAGTAGAAGGTCAGAAAATAAAAAGACCCAAGTGGACTGGAGCAGTCAGAGACCTCAGCCTCGAGGGCAATAATGTGTCCTCTGTCTTTATCCTGTACTACAGGAGAAAATGTTATGGAAGCGAGGGAAACAGGCAAACCTCAGAAGAAAAGGTTTACCTTGGCCCTTCCCACATCATCTCCAAATTTCCTCCTAGTTCTAACAGTCTATATGTCCTTCTTGGAGGAGGAGATACTTGAATTTGACCTTGGAAAATGAATAGGATCTGCACTGGAAGAGTTTGGTCAGGGCATTTCAAGTTTGGAATGGAGGATCGGGGTACATGAGCAAAGATGTGCTATGAAGGGTGGAAGAGAGTCCACAGTGAAAGGTCTGCCCTGGGGAGCAGAGGACAGAGGTAAAGTAAGGTGGGACCAGTCTATGAAGGGCTTCAAATGTTAGATTGAGGAGTCTGGGCTTTATGCTGTTGTTACATTAAGACAGGCATGAGGCTATGAAGGTGTGCAAGAAGTTGGTGGTAGTGAGAATGGAGAGATAGCCATTCCCACACGCCCTTTTATGCAGCTAATCTTTTCAAGAAAGATGAAGAGGCACTTTTGATTAGGGATTTGAATTTAAGAGCTGGGCCTCGTAGATTACACCTCCTGTCTTGGGCAGAGGGAAGAAGCTGGACTTGAGGAAAGAAGTTCAAGTTGAGCCATGCCCTCTACAGGGGAAGGGGCCAAAAATGAGTAATTGTTGATCTCTTATGACTCTACTCCTGAGATGACAGAGTTATACATCTAGAACTTGACAGGACCTCACAGACAAACATGAAGTGTCAACCATGAGCCAGGCGCTGTGCGAAGCACTGGGAATGCAAGATAAGGCAAAAAACAAGCTGCTCACCCCCTGTGGGGGAAAACAACATGCAAACAACTATGTACAGACAAAATATAGAGAGGATGAATTGGGAGTCGTCTCAGAGGGCAGGCCCTAAGATTGAGGAGGACTGGGAAGGGCTTCTTTTAGAGGCTGGGCCTTTGGCTAAGGCTTGAAGGAAGCCAGGAGGTGGAGATGAGGAGGGAGGGAGTTCAGCCAGGGGAAATTCCCAGAGTGGGAAGATAAAGTGTCTTGTGCAAAGACCTCACTATATCGTATACTATGTGGAAGGAAATGAGGTGGAAGAAGACTGGAAAGGTAGGTATTATTAAGAGGCCAGATTATGAACAGCTAGTACAATCTCCTCGTTTTATAGATGAGGAAAAGAGGGCCCAAGGAGGATGCATGCCCAGAGTGACACAGGTAGTAAACGGCCAAGTCAGAAATTGAACCCAGGCCTTCTGAATCCTGAGCTAGTGATCTTTCCACTGTATCACAGATACCCTTGGCTTGGTGTTACCACCTTCGGTAGATCAGGCAGGATATGCTTTCCTCTAACTTTTTCTTTTTTCCTTTCCTGTTCAGGGTCCCCCTGGGCCTCATGGAAACCCTGGTCCTCCTGGCCCTCCTGGTGCAAAGGTAGGTATTTGTTGCCAGGTAGATTTGATTATCCCCTTCATCAAGGCGGAGAGAATGGAAAGAGTCCATCTAGGCCAGGACATCTGAGCTTTGCCAGCACTGGACCACACCATCCAAAGTTTATTTTGTGAAGGCTGCAGGAATCTTTTACAGTTGGCCCAAATCTATCAGCATGACCCCTAGTGACAGACAGATGATTTAGGTCTACTAGTTCATGTGTGTCATATGTGCTAGCAAGTTAATTAGATGAAAATTTTTGTTTTTGTTAAAAAAAAATCTCAGGTGGGTTGGCACCACTGGCTGGGTTAGGTGAACTACATCTGAGTTGCAGGCTATATACTATATGTCCAGGGCAGAGGGTAGTAGGAGTTCTTAACTTGGGTCTATGAACTTTAAAAAATATGTGTGTGTGTGTGTGTGTGTGTGTGTGTGTGTGTGTATAAACTGTATTTTAATATAATTGGTTTTCTTTGTAATTTCTAGTATATTCTATGCATCATATAACATGTATTACATTTTATGCATTTAAAAGCAGTATTCTGAGAAGAGGTCTCCAGACTTCACCAGACTGCCAGAGAGGTTCATGACACAAACAATATTAAAAACCCCTGGTCTAAGGTGATAACCTGGAGGGTCAGGAGCTGGGACACAGGGGCTAGGCTATGGGAAAACTGGCCCTTTGGTTTGGAAGTAGGTTGTGTCTCAGGGTCATAGATTTAGATGGGATTTTGAAGACCATTAGGACCTGGCTTACACAGCTGACATGGGATTTGAACCTGAGTCTTGCCGACTTCCTGACTTCAAGTCTCATACCCTATATAGTGTGTCAGACTTGTCTTGGTTAAAATGACCTCTCTCTGGGGCAACATGCTGTTCTTTGTCAGTAGTGTGACAGTACCTAAGAGGCTGCTGTGCCAGTGGTAGTCTGAACTTTGGGATCAGCCAATAAACTTTATTAAACACTTACTATGTGCCAGGTACTGTTCAAAGCACTGGGGAGAAAAAGAAGCGTAAAAGATAGCTTCTGCTCCCAAGGAGCTCGCAATCTAATGAGGGAGGGCTCAGCGACCTGAATCTGCAGCCCCCAGTGAGAGGCCTGTTGTTACCAGCAGCTTTCTTGGTTGCCTGTGGATATGGGGCTTCCATCTGGACTGAGGGCCAACATTCTAGTTGATTGCATAAGCTAGAACTGGTTATCACAGATCCCGGCTAGCCAGCTCCTATCAACTCCTTCTCTGAGGTAGTGTTGCCTTTTGAAGCAGATATCTGATGCCCTCTGTGCCATACAACATATCTGGTAGCACCTGTTATGACTGGGGTCTGGGGAGGGATGGCAGCTAGTGGCAGCTGGGCATTTTGTAGGAGCTAGAGGAGAAAGATAGTTTAGTTTGGGGAGTGGACACTTTGCAGCGTCTAGGGAGGTTCTAAGTGGTATTGCCACCTTGGGAACTGGACTGCTGCCCCCTCCAGCTTGAAAAGAAATCAGCTTCTCAGCTGGGGCATCTGTTTTGAATCGGAAATGCACAGGGAAGGTTCTTCCAGTGAATATTACATCCTGGTGTGACCCAGTGTTGCCTCATCACTGCTTTCCAGATCATGTTTGGAGGGTAAAACTAGTCATTTCTGGTCCTTTGAATGAGAAAGACACAGGAATGCACACAGACACAGACACAGACACAGATACACAGAGTTATGAGCTGAATGTCAGGGGCCAGAGTGTGTCTGCTTTCTCTCTGTCTCTCTGTCTCTCTGTCTCTGTCTCTATCTCCTTCTCTCTCCCTCTCTCCTTCTCTCTCTCCCCTTCTCCCTCTCTCTTTCTCTCCCCCCTCCCTCTCTCCTTCCTTCTCTCCCTCCTCTCTTTCTTTCTTCTCCCTCTCTCCCTTCTCCCCTCTCTTTCTCCCTTCTCCTTTTCTTTATTTTTCTGTCTCTGTCTCCATCTCTCCTCTTTCCTTCTCTCTCTTCCTCTACCTCTCTCTTCTTCCCTCTCTCCTTCCCTCCCTCCCCTCTCTTTCTTCCTTCCCCCTCTCTCCCTTCTCCCCTCTCTTTCTCCCTTCTCCTTTTCTTTATTTTTTTTGTCTCTGTCTCTCCTTTCCTTCTCTCCTCCCTCTCTCTTCTCTCTTCTTTCCTCCTTGTCCCTCCCCCGTCTCTTTGGCTGTGCTGCTTCCAGATTGCTGATGGAAGGGAAAGACCAGGCTGACTCACTTGTAGATCTCTTCCTGTCTGATCTGCAGAGAGGGGCTTCAGGGATCTCTCTTCTGTGGATGGGCAGGTGACCAAGTGGAGTTTTTGCTTCAAGCTCTGCTTTTTGCCTTTGTGTTTTCTTGAACCCAAATTTCCTGGCCACATTTTAGAATGAGATAAAACTGCTCCATGTGTAGGAAGAAAAAAGAATGTTTTGTCTTCAACTCTGTTGGTATCTGGGTCTGGCTTAGTGTAGTGAAAAGGGCACTGCATTTGAAAGCAGAGAACTGGTTAAAATCCTGTCTAAACTAATGACTATGGATGTATCACCCAAGAGTCAGTGTAAAAAAGAACATTGGATTTGGGATCAAAGAACCTGAGTTCAAATCTTAACTCTCTTCCTATTACTTCTGTTACCTTGGCAAGTCCCCTCAATTTCCTCATCTGTAATATGTGGGGTGGGACTAGATGGCCTCAGAGGTACCTTTCACTTCTGATAGTCTCTGGTCTTATCATGGTGGCCATCCCAGGGATCATGGTAGGCCCTTGGTACATGCAGACTTAATGAGTATTAGAGCTGGAAGGGACCTTGAGAAATCATCCCTAGCCATTCTTCTCATTTAAAGAAGAATTTGAGATTCAGCAAGGGAAAGCAACTTAATCCAAGATTCGTCCGCCAGTAAATTGAGCAGCTGGCACTAGCCTCCAGTCTGCTGGCACCCCGTTTGCCTTATATCACTCCTTGCTTAGCATGTACCCTCCCTACCCTTGTATTATTCCATTCTAAAGGCTGAATATTAAGTTTAGGCCATGGGGTAGGGGGTTGGGAGAATGAAAAGATGTGTTTTATATGTATTTACAGATAAACATGGTATCTATCAGGAGGGGATGCTTAGCGGTGGGAGGCTGGACAGTATGATGTGTGTTATTCCTGGTGGGAGCATTGTAAGATTGGGAGCTTGAAGCAACATTGGAGATCATTTAATCCTATCGCCACTTATTAGAAATGACAAAATGGAGGCCTAGAAGAGGACATTGACTTGCCTAAGGTTCTTACAAGCAGGATTTGAACACAGGTCCTCTGACTTGAGAGCCAGTGTTTTTCCTACTCTACCATGCTAGTAAATCTAGAGTTTTCTTCTTGAAGACTTTCCTGCAGCTATTGCTCTCCAAGGCTTGTTTCCACAGCCAGAGATTCCCCAATTGCTACACCCTCCTCCCCCGCTTCCTCCTCCCCCACCCAGCTGTGCAGTTCTCATCATCCAACGATGCCATTCACTTGGGCCCCTGACCTACAACCTCACCAACACTGGCAGTCCCACTGTGCCTCACCCCACTAGCATATGTGGCTGATGGGGGAAGCCAAGGCAAGAGTGGGGCTGGGCAGCTGCTCAGTAATCAATTTTGGAAAGTAATTGGCGGTGGGGGGGGGGAGGCGGGGAAAAGGGTGGGTGGGGACCAACTAGGGAATTGCTGCTAATAGCTGAAAGGGAGTCCAAATGGCCCAGCTTACAGTCCTGTGCACTTTGGGCTGCCAGGCAAGAAAACTTCAGTCCTTTATAATTTTTAATAGATAAGGGTGCGGATTCTGGGAACAAAAGCGTAGGAGGTGTTTCTCCCGCTGGGGCCCTGTCTCAAGCCAAAAGGAGCTGTGCTGTTCTCCTGCTGGGCTCAGCCCGTTACTGATGAGCTTAGCCTTAATAATCATAGCTCACATTGATGTGGCACTTCACAGTTTACAAAACACTAGACAGGCATTATTTAATGTGTTCTTCATAATGACCTTGTCTGAGAGGTAGAGAGAGATGTCATTTTCCCCTTATCAGATGGGAAATTCAGAAGGGTTAAATATGACCCAAAGGCCCACTCAGGCGGGCATTCGCCCCAGCATGGCCAGAATTTGAACTTAGCTAGTGGTATAACTGGGACTCAGATCTAAGTCTTTTCTCTCCAAATGCAGTGGGTTTTTTTTTTCAAACCCTGACTCCAGATTAAGGAGCTTAGATTCTGGCTTAAGGGCTAACAAGTCATGAAGTCATGACAATTTGCCCTTTGCTCCCCCAGCTGCTCCTGGCCTATAGCTTGGAGGAGGAGGGTTCAAGCCACCCTGGATCAGGAGAAAAAGCTCAGCAGATGGACTGATGAGCATAACCAAACCTGCATGGCTGGAGGGGAAGCCACCTCTTCTTCCAGGCCACAATCTGTAGTCCCAAACCTCCTGGTAGAATTTAGCTGCAGCGGCGTGTCTGGCCCTGGGGAAGTCACCTGGGGTGACCATTAGTACTGATGGCACCCAGCAGATGTCCATGATCGATCATTATGGCGTGATGAATGGGAGCCTTTCAGCAGGGGGCTAGGGCTCGAGGCAAAGAGCTTAGAGGACAGGGTGAGGAAGGAGGTGCATTAGGATTTTGATGGGGAGTCACAGCCGTGTGGCTGCATGCACCAGGAGGAGCCATGGCCACATCCTTGGGGAGCCACAGTTTTAATGGAAGAGGTATGGTCCCTCCTTTTGGTGGGGTAGGCACCTGGTCTGTGGCAAAGACATAGCCCCATTTTTCAGGAAGTTCTCACTCTGATGGGGGAAGCATGACAAGGGAGGCAACAGTGGAAAGAACCCTAGTTTTAGATTTAGAGCACTAACATTTCAAGCCTGGTGTGAACAACGGCAAGCTAACTTCATTCCCTAAGGCCTTGGTTTCCTTTTCTGTAAAACAGATGTGTGTATTGAGGGTAGAGTTAGACTAGACACTAGATTATTGCTAAGCTTCCTTCCAACTTTAAATAGGTCACGTAACAGGGGTTGAATTCCCTGCAAG